ACGTGGTTGCAGTGCTACCGGGATTTAAAAATAGTTACGCAAAACAGAGCATGCCCGCTCCCACTGGTTTTAAAGGGTTAAAGAAGCTATGAAGCCAAACGGGCTTCTAACTCAATATTAACAAGGTACACCTAATAAAGTGGCCAGTCAGTGTACACTTCTATGATAAACTGATTTATCCATGAATGTCTTTTGCATTTGTCACACAGAAAAAGTTTTACAACAAGAATTTGACTAAATCTAGTAAACATTTAAGAATATTACGTGATTAATATTAATGAGACACAGCCTGTAAGTACTTAAATATGTCAAACAAACATCATACCCTTTATTCCTTTTTTCATATATGTTATTACTATAGAGACAAGAACATGGTCTATCAACAATATCATATTTCATCTATAATTATTTTCCCCTTTCATCCTCTTCTACCTCTGACACCGTTTCCACTGCTGGAATCACCTTTCAGCTCACCATTAAATTATATTAGTGAGCTGAATTATATTAGCAACAAGACAGAAAAAATGACTTTGGTTAAAATTATGGATCACAAGTATGTTGCTTTGTCTAGTGAGATTTACAAATTTCACCTGCAAATTGTGCTTAACTAGGTGAAAATGATTTAACGTTTCACCAGAATGGCGATTCCCTCCAAAAGAAACCACATTTTGGTTCACATAATAGGATTTAATGTTTTATTAATTCAGAAAACCTGTAAATAAACTGACAATTGATCTGTATTTGCCTGACATGGCTTCAAATCTTTGTCATTACACAGAAGATTTAGCAGTGAGCTGACTCCTTGGGTCACGTTGGGTTTATTTTCTACAACTTCCTAAATAAAACAAATGCTTTCATTGAAAGCTCAAGCTGTTTACAGTTACATTCAGACTTCCCTTCCAGCTATCATGGCCCACCCCATTAAATACTGTGATAAAAGACACTAAAGAGGAAACGGTCACTACATCAGATTCTGGTGCGACTTGTTACAAATATGAAAACTATAAATATTGCAGAGCACAAAGCAAATTTATTGATATTTTGTAAATGCATTTTTTAATTTAAAAGCCATTATAAATGTGTTTCTTTAAAAAAAAGGTTCACTGGAGATCTTTGAACATTATCATAATTTGAATTTAGAGAAGAGAAACTTGTTTACTCCCGTTCTTCTAACTGCAGTGGTGTCAGGTTTAAGGAGCGCCTTCTACTCCACAGTAGGGGTAAGATGAAACACTGGTGCCAAGCACCATGTGATAGTGTATCCAATGTTGATCTACCATATTTCACCTTAGGTCACATTGTACCACTCAGTTCCCAGCATACAAGAAGCTGGGTCTTGTTGACATATTCTTGCACCCAGCATTAAGGATTTAGACTCTTTAACTGTCTATTCACTCCTACTTAAGCTGACTGCTGCAGATTACAGCAGTGATATTTGCTTCATAAGCAGGGATGCATTAAGGAATCTCAAGGCCAAGAACTCAAAAGCCTTCGTAAATCTCCATCCATTCGCTTCCGCTTATCCTTTTCAGGGTCGCGGGGGGCGCTGGAGCCTATCCCAGCTGTTATAGGGCGAGAGGCAGGGTACACCCTGGACAGGTCGCCAGTCTGTTGCAGGGCCAACACACAAGGACAGACAACCATTCGCACTCACTTTCACTCGCACATTCACACCTAGTGACAATTTGGATTATCCAATTAACCTATCCCCACAAGCTGCATGTCTTTGGACGGTGGGAGGAAGCCGGAGTACCCGGAGGGAACCCACGCAAACACGGGGAGAACATGCAAACTCCACACAGAAAGGCCCCAGCCTGATGGTGGTATTGAACTCAGGACCTTCTTGGTGTGCGGCAACAGTGCTAACCACCGTGCTGCCAATTTTAAAAAAAAGTTAATAAATAGCAGTAAAATAAACAGCAAAGAGTCCAGCTGACAAACAAAAAGGGCTTTCAGTTTGAAACAATCCTGTTCACTTGCTTTTGAGCCCTCAGGAAGTACATGTGTCCACTTGTGTGTGCCTACCTGAATGACCGCGCTGAACCAGCAGGTATTGCCGACATTTTTCAGACCCACGGGGCAGTTGTCTATCCTCTTCCTGTCGTGTGGGTTGGGTGAATCGCTCCATACCTCTGTGTGAGTGCGCTTCAGACTCGCTTTGTTTTCTGCTATACTGGCCTCCAAAACTCTGGAAAAGCAGGAAGGAAATAAAAACGAGATAGAGGAAATGAACTTGTGTGTGGGTCCCTACATCACCTGCTGCTGGTTATTTACTCTGCATCTCCCAAAAGGTCACATTTCTTTCGCTCTACTCATCTGCTAAAAAACTCACATCATCGAAAGAACAGGAACCTGAACACAGTCGGACAACAGAAAGGCTCATCCTGATGGCCACTGTGCAAAATAACCTCCACATACTTATTACATAGTAACAGACCATCAAGTACCATTCTGGATGGTGGCCAAAAATATATAAATAATAAAACAAAATTATTGGTCAGATAGTCACTGCAGTATTACTCCTGAGAAATAGACGGGTTGTGTAACGCATGAATTCTCTCTCTGATATAAATTATTTACTATTAAACAGATAACATATGCTGCAAAGACACAGCAACTATTTGACCTGACCTAGTTCTATTTATTACAACAGGGATCATGTGTTTCACAATACAAGAGTAAGTATAGTACTTTCATACTTCTTCTCTTGGCTCTTGACGGAGGCGGTCGCACTTTCTCCTTCTCCCTTATCGTTCCTGCTTGGCTTCTCATGTCTCGCTTATTCTCTAACCCTAAGAGAGTCTCCCAGACTTGTTCTCTAAAAACCTAAAGAAGAATTATGGATTTGATCAACTGCTCCCTTAATGAAATTGACAACTCCTGGGCTTGGGAGAGCCTGATTGTCCTGCGGAGACGTTTGCTGCCGGATACTCGATGGTCGGTTGCGTCAGGTGTCTGGCGACACTCTCGATGGAGGACATTGAACGACATCTACCAATTCGGAACCATGATAACAGAGTTCTGGCTGATTGGAGCTGGCTCGGACCCGGTTTATCGAAGAACAAGAAGCAGCTACAGCTGTTCAAAACTCCACAAGGCTGGCCGACATGATAGACGATGGGCAGAGCTGTGAGTACTCAGACTGTGTTTTTGAACGCAATATGGATAAAATCTTGGAGAAGCTCATGACTCTGCTATATGGAGAACATCTTGAGGAAGGAGAGAGACCTGTGACCAGTGACGGACATGAGACCTATTGTAAAATTGGATGCAGTTTGTTCACACTAACCAAAACAACTACCATCTTCATCTCATGCGGCCCCCCTGGCGCCAGCTGGATGCCCCCTGCGTCGACCGAAGATTGTTGACTAACCGAGCGAAGGGACACTTTCTCTTGGCTGAACACACACACACTCATACGCACACATATGCATGTACACTGACACAGACCTACACTCACCCCCCTTCAAACACCTTCAAAGCTTAAGTCTTCTATGTAGTGAGTTTCCCACGCGTGGGACTAATAAAGGTTATCTTATCTTCATCACACCCAGGGAAGAGATGGAGACCGTGTGGGTGAAGCAAAGTGTGGATTTCTTAAAATATCGTTTCCTGTCAAAGTTGTTGTCAGTCGCTGATACCTGCTGATGGCCTGCTCTTCATCAGTGATGCCCGTCTCCCTGAATGCCCGGTTGGATTCCTCCAAGCTGAGGGCAATGGCCCTCTGCAAGTCATCTTTATCATCTCCAGTCAGGTCAATCACGTCTGCATCAACAAAGCACACACGACAGCAATTTGGTTTGGATCACCACTAACATGCAACCATCGTTTACACTCTGGATACTTAGTGTCCTGGACTAAAACTTTGTGTTGCTCAAGTGCGGTTGAATAACACAATAATGATGTGAAACATGGCAAACATGACATTTTAATACAGATATCCAAGTTTCTCACACATTTAAATTCTAATTATGACCGGATACATGTGCACGTGTAACAGGAGGCAAATGTATGCTCTGTTATATTAGTTATATGTTAACAACATTCATGAAATGCTCATTTTGCCAACTGAATCAGCCAGCTACCCATCCAGTGACAACCCTTGACCCGCAGACATAGTCCAACCACACTGGTAGCTGGTGCAGGGTCTGGGTATAGAGGATCTCCAGGGCTATTCAAGACTACTGTAGCAAGTATAGTCGTGGAATATGGACTTGGAGACAGTCCAGCCATGCTATGAGAGACTGGAAAAAATCCAAGCTGAATGATATGAAGGACTGCAACAGCAATAACTTGTTCAGCAAATCATGTGATGAAGCAACCAAAGATGAGAAAGGGATGCTTGTTAGCAGTGACTGAAATTTGAAAATAAGAACAGGATTGTTTACAAGTGCATCCAAATGCTAAAATCCCCTTAAGTTAAAGATAAATATACTCGATTAGCTTAATTTATGTGAGTGTTGAAGTGAGCATGTCTACTTGTGGGACCACTGGATGTTGACGTGCTGTTCTGAAACTATAACAGCACCAAAACTTGAACCAAGCTACTCACTCGTGTCTGCCTGGCTGCCCACGCTGATGTATCTGTCGCTGGCCACCTGGGACGTCTGGTAGTAAGTCGTCTCATCTTGTTGAGGAACCTTGGCATTCTTCTCTGTCAGAAAGGCCACGGCTTCACCCAGGTCTCCATTACTCACCTGCAGCACCAGCATGTTTAGGTTAATGTCTCCATGTAATTTAAAGAAAATTATTAGCTGCAGGGAAAGACTAGAGAGCCTCAAAAACACCTGAATTTAATACAAAGTAAAACTGTGCTCTGGGAGAAATGACTGCAGAGCGTAACTTGTGTCAACAGTCCCATTAGAATAAACTGAACCTAAGTTTAAGACAGAAAACTCTCACATTTCCCACTGAAAAAATATCTACTGTAAACACACAATATCCCTGACTTTTCCCGTTTTTAGCCTGTGTTTCAAAATGTACCTGCAGGGCCTGCTGAAGCAACTGTACATCTGTGGTGCCTGTGACCTCCCTCAACTGGTTCAGTAGTGTCTGCTGGTGCTGTTGAAGAAGAAAAATCATCAAGACGGTGTTGATAACAGAGCCTGAAAATGATGGAAACTATATTTTACAGGTCCAACTTCTTCTTCAAAACACAAAAACAAAAACCACGTCACTGGCTTTCCCCCTTAACTGGGATGAAAAGCCAACAACTCAGTTAAATCAATAAATAACTTACTCTTAACTCATAAGAATGTACAGACGCGTATTGGCAGCTAGATGATTTACAAAAAGCACAGCATGTTAATCAATCCCATCTAAGGGTATGAGGGAAGGCTCGATATTTAGTGGGAGCTGTTTAATCATTTAATGATTTTATCATAATGGTCTTCGGGAAATTGTAGTTGGCATCTTTCAGTGTCCCTGCCACTTCATGGATAAAATGATTAAGAGAAAAAAAATAGGCAGATTAACAATAACAAAATTATTCATTAGCTGGATTCCTCGGGGGAAGGCACAGACAAACATTGCACTAGCTGTCCACAGTGTTCCTCAGAGACTGATTCAAATTATCAGGAGTGTTTAACTATCTTGAGCGCTCCTATCGCTCACCTGGTTGAGCAGGTAACACATATGCAGGAAGCCTGCAGGAGCATGGCTTTGACTCTGTCCCTTACCATTCACTGTTTCACAGTCCCATGTACTCTCGACTACGATGTCCAATAAAAGGTTAAAAAAAAGGTTGATTAATCAATAACAACCACAGCCACACCAAAGTCACTTTTGCCTCACATTAAATGATCTTGAACAGTCCTCTTACATGATATTAGGCTAACAGCTGCAGTCAGGACACTATTTATGTAGACTGTATTATAGTCATAATAATAATTACAAAATTAATAATACACTGTCTGTCTATCTATAGATGGATAGTCTATTACAGACAGACAGATGTAATTCTTTAACTCAAATATAGTAACTTTTTAAAACTCAAAGTTCAAAAACGATTTTTACTTATTTTCTGCTGCACCTTGCTGCAGCCCCCTAAACAAAAAAACAACAACTTCCCACTAAAAGTCTGCTTTCATTTGATTGGCTGCCTCTTGAAAACAACAACAGCAGGTGGTTGGAGCTTTGGCGTGTGCCTAAGACCACATCAGGCAAGGTTTCTGGATTGTGTGTGTTGCAGTAACAACACAGTGTGAAAGGCAGTGCACCTGTGGTAAATGAAATTATTAATATAATGTAAATTTTGTAACGATAAACAACTTGAACATCCGATACAGACGTCATAAGTCTTGACTGAGAGGTCTACAGTGTAGCTTTCACAGGTGGAACAGGCGACTGACAAGAAAATTACTTTAAAGGGCTCTTTCATGATTTAGGACTCATTATTGTATGTTATTTACACACTATAAGCTTATTGCACAACAAACATCCATGGCAACGTTGTGCACCACCTATGCAAAAAACATTTCTAAACACTTTCAATGGTGTTGCTCCAGCTACGACACAAAAAGCAGTGAAAAAGAGTGATGTCTGGGAGCACGGCATATCACAAAGCAGCAGCTGTTCTGAGCTATGCTGTTGCACAGTAAAGGTAAACAAACCAGGACAACAACGCCAATTACCAAAAATACTGAATTCTTAATCTTAGATATCAGAGCTGGAAACCTTGTTGATGCATCGTATACTAATACCATGTAGTTGTGTTTTTGTAACTGCAATACACTACAGGAAGCTATGGGGGCAGTATCACCTCTATCGTCTGCCAAGACTGCACTCAGTACTAACAAAGAAGGACAAAGCCTGAGCAGCAAGACGGGAGGAGAGAGAATTAAATGTGAAAGCATTTAACAGAAAACTAACAGCTAAATGCAGACTGTGCAAAGTGGAGCTTTCCTTCCATGCCAGCACTACTGCAGTGCACGAGTGCATCAAACACCAGCACCATGGAGCTGTGACCTCGAATGTGAATAGGTCCATTTTAGTGCGTCGCGTTGATACTTTGTTTATGTTAATATTGTACAGTCGGAAACTTCCCCGGATGATGGTTGCTAAACGAACCCCATTTCAGTTTTGTTAGCTAATGAGTGAAATGCGATAGTAAACCATTAAACAGGAGTCGTTACGCTGTCTCTTTGTTTCTGTTTTTTCTCATATTAATGTTAGCGTTTATTCTGAATAACAAACCTCTTCCACCTAATGTTAGGTAGTTAATCTGAGGGTTGGACAACACCACCTAATTATATACATATAATCAAATAAACCGTTTAACTGGCATTAAACACTACACCATCTGAAAAACACACTGGTCGTGGTCTTTTCTGATTCTGTTTTGTTGTTTTACTAGTATTAAGCAAAAGCATATAGATGAATTTGCCCTGTAAAGAGGCTCATGCACCTCCCAAATGGCTGAAGTCATGACAGAAAGCATCTTTAGCAGGTTTTCAGCAGCTGGGAACATCATCTCAAAGATAAGAGCAAGCCTCACTCCAGAGCATGTCCACTACAATAGTGAATTCATGCACCGAATCATCTGTAAGTTATGGAAACGTGTTATTTTAGACTGAGAAAAAATCTTTTTGATTTCATTTGAAGCTTTATTTGACCTTATGGACAGAAACCATTTTATTTTTATTTTGTATTTTTATTACTTTTTGTTTAAATACCACTAGCACTTTATGTCTGTGAAGGTTCTCAGTCATCCAGGTCATCGTAGTCAAAGGAGCTTGCAAAGAAAAGCGTCTGGACTTCTTTAAGTTACTTGAAGACGTTTCACCTCTCATCCGAGAAGCTTCTTCAGTTCTAAGGTCAAATGGTGGAGAGTCCCAGATATAAACCTGGTGGGAGTGTCCCCCCACAGAGGGACAAAAGGACCCCCTGATGATCCTCCTCTGTTCAAAGGAGCCTCTGTTCAAAGATGGATGTCCACTGTGAGCGACCATCTTTGAACAGAGGCGGTGGTTTACGACACCAACTCTCTGCCATCTATAATCCAGTTTTGAGATCCCTTCCCAGACGCCTTAACGCCCACTCACATCCTGGGCCATCTGACCTCAGGAATTTGCATGATAACGTGGGGCCAGGTTTCACAATGAACTCACCCGAAACTCTGGCTGATTGGGACCCACACCCAGTTCCACACCTTGGCTCAGGCGATTAGAGGATCATCAGGGGGTCCTTTTGTCCCTCTGTGGGGGGACACTCCCACCAGGTTTATATCTGGGACTCTCCACCATTTGACCTTAGAACTGAAGAAGCCTCTCGGATGAGAGGTGAAACGTCTTCAAGTAACTTAAAGAAGTCCAGACGCTTTTCTTTGCAAGCTCCTTTGACCACTAGCACTTTAATTTGCATTATCCTTACTAATTTCATTTGTATTCTGACACTCCTACTGAGTAATGTTAAAGATACATTCAAATTCATATGTTTCCTGAATGATTATTTTCATGTGGGATGAGACAACAGGGTGATACTGACAGGTGGGCAGACCTGAGCAGGTGAGGTACTGGAGCCTAGAACAGGAGGTTTTTTGCCCACAGGAAGCAGAGATAAGAGTTCTTGAAATAATTGCTGACTAATTAACAAATTGAAGAAGAATTGGCAGATTAGTCGACTACCAAAATAATCTTTAGTTGCAGCATGTTCACATGGGATCTAAAATACTGATAATAACAATTTACAATTCAAGTGTAAACAACTGTGCAAATGCCATACAAGCTGATCAGCTAAATTCAGCAATGAGGATTCCATTTATGTGGACACAAAACGGCCTAACTTATGTTATAGTAACTGTTTTAAGCTGATTCTTCAGTTAAACTACTAGAAAACAAGAAATGTGAGTTTATTAACTGCTAAGAATATGTATCATCATCAGAATGCATGATGATCAAAAGTAGGGCTGTGCCATTCATGACATCCACAATAACCCAAAAGTTTCAAAGTGTTAATCAGGTATTATATCCAAACACTACAAAGTCTACTTGTGCACCTACATTTGCTCTGTCACTACTATTGTCTATAATACTGCTGGTAACTTGTAGCAACAGATTCACACTTCAGATTAGGTAGTGTGTCATCAATGACTGCAGCTCCATAGAAAAGGAGGATGGAAAACTCCCCTCACTTGGTTTCTAGTAATAAATGCTACTGCCTGAAGGCTGCAAACACCAATAAACTTAGCTTTGTTTTTTCCTGTGTCGTCATATAATTACCACAAATTTCACTGAAATGTCATGATAGAATTTTGAGACCAAGACAGCTCTAAGACTAAGGCTGTTCAGTAAAAAACCTCAGATTTGCACCAGCCATATCTTATTATCCTCAAGTAAGATACTCACTTCCTCCAGCTCTAAGGAGGTTTTTCTCTACAAGGCTGGAGGCTTAACTTCTGTTTCTGATGGATGTTATGTGATTTTCCCTGTGCTTCTGTCAACCCTCAAGAGTAAATGTTTTTGCAGAGTCAGTCAATGTAAAGAATGAAGGAAAGTTAACACCTTGCAGCAACAGAATATACAACGAGTCCAATTTGTCTGCAATAACCTTTCAAGTTTATCAAATGAGAATATGCAGCTGACAGGAATACACGCTTCCTATCAACCTTCTAGAGGAAGTGATACTCTGACTTTTGGCCTGTCACTACAGAGAACAACTAATCTTACTTAAGCTTAACAAGTACTAACATGCGAGGACCAATGTCTAAAATAAAACATGAGTCAGAAACTGTTCATATGCTTCCTCACACCCGCTTCAGTTGTCATAACATTTAAACAATATTTGTAAGACCACAGTGAAGACAGCTTTTCTCTAAGGCTTCTGTTACAGCAGGCCTGTTGTGAATGGTAAGGCATGGTGAGTGGTAAAGAAAGCACTGACACAAAGGTAGTCGTAGTGCGGTGGCTCATGTACCTATACTAATCTAATGAAAACAGAGCTTCTGAAAAGGTTGTCCCAGAGCGAAGACCTTTGGAAACTCTCATTTCTGTGTTTACATATGGATAAGGAAATGAAGCTCTTGTCTTGCATTCCTTAAAAACCTATGCACCTGTCTTTTTTGACGTAAGAACTCTGTATCTTGTTTTTGTTTTTTTGTTGTTCCTGTTAGGCTTTTGACTGGCTGACATTTCACCACCTGTTGCTTTGGCATAACCATGACATTGTTCCTTTGCATTTTCACATGGATGTAGATTCTTTTGAAAATGAAAGCAGAAAATCCTTGTTTAAAAACAAAAAGATACCTATGTACATGTGGAAGCAGCCCAGGACAAGAAATGTGAAGGAAGTTGCACCTGTGACAGATATGGGCCAAGACTACCACAAGAACAGTTGCTCAGACACGCACACATGCACACACGTTTTAAAGCAGTTTGTTTTTTTTT